GGGGGGGGGACGGTGGGAGACGCGAAAATACCGACGGATATCGGCGGGCAAAAAGGGAGCAGAGGCGCAATTATCCGCTCCCGGCTGTCATTTCCAGACGGGATCTCCGCAGCTGGAACATGTCCTCCCGCAGCCCTCCTCCCGCACCGCCGGGCCGGCCATGGAGTTACCTTGACGCTCCCGGGTAGAGAAGCCGGAGACGGAGGGAGGCGGTGGCGGCCTTGGCGGAGCGCAGCCGATGCCTGGCGGCGGCGGCCCGAGTGCGGTTCTCGCCGGGCTCGGTCGCTGCCGCGGCGGCGCAGGAGCCCTGTAGGCCTCGGCCTCGGCGGGGCCTCCCCGGCGCAGGGCGGCGTCGGCGGCGGGTTCAGGCGCGGGCGGCTCCGCTCAGTCCCGTGCACTCCCCGCTGCCTGCGGTGCCGCTGCCTCTTCACATTCCCGGAGAAGGGCCCTGCGAGGCGGGGTGGTGTGGGGTGGTGGTGGGGGAGCCGCCGAGCAGAGCAGAGCCAAGCCGAGCCGAGCCGAGCGAGGGGGAGCGGCGGGCGCTGAGAAGGGGGGGGGGGGGGGGGGGGGGGGGGGGGGGGGGGGGGGGGGGGGGGGGGGGGGGGGGGGGGGGGGGGGGGGGGGGGGGGGGGGGGGGGGGGGGGGGGGGGGGGGGGGGGGGGGGGGGGGGGGGGGGGGGGGGGGGGGGGGGGGGGGGGGGGGGGGGCAGTGCCGGGCAGGGCGGGGAGCGCGGGTTCCGCCGGCGGCGCTGGCGCGGGGGAAGAAGAGCGAGCGGAGGGTCCCGGTGGGCGTCGGGGTCGCGCTCCTATTGTGGCTCTCAGCGGGCTCCGGCCATGGCACTCGCTCGCACGCACTCGCTCGCTCACAACCGAGCGCGCTGCTGCCACCGCCCCCCGCCCGCGGACCGCCCCCGACCGCCCACCGGAGCCGCCGCCGGGACGCGCCGCCTCAGTGGCGCCCGGAGCCGCCTTGGCCGCCGGGACCGCCGGGAAAGGGCCGCCCCCTCTCCCGGCAGCGGCGTGGCCCCGCCGCTCCCGCAGCCCCGCGGGTCCCTCGCATCCTTCGCCTGGGCGAGCAGCGGGGCCCCCTCGGCTGAGCGGTAAAACCCGGTGCTGCTGAGGGAAAACCCCGCTAAGGCTGAGGTAAAGCCCCCCGTGGGAGCCCCTTCCCGGGGAGGGCGGCGGGCGAGGGGCCGCGCCGGGTCCGGCCGGAGGGACCCGCTGCGGGCACGGCCGCAGTTCCCTCCTTGGCTCCGCAGTGGGAAGCAGCGGCTGCTCCCTCCCTCTCCTCTCTGCACCCGTGGGTTTCTCAGCCCAGTGTGTGAAGGCTGTCTGCACCACCCTTTTTTTATTTACCCCCAACCAAGTGTATTTTTTATGTACTTGAAACCAGGGACTGGCACAACGGCTGCTTGTGGATAGTATGGTTAAGTGTCATAAATTTTTGTTTTAAACTTATCTACCTGATGGCTTTGGTGTCTGATGGTTTTGTTTTGGGTCCCGGTTGGTTTGTTCGTTTGTTTTCCCCAAAATACAGCGAACGGCTATGGCAGTGGAGCTGGTGGAGGGACTGGAGAACAGATCTTTGAGGAGCGGCTGAGGGAGTGGGGTTGTTCAGCCTAGAGAAGAGGAGGCTCAGGGGGAACCTTATTACTCTCTACAACTCCTTCAAAGGAGGCTGTAGCCAAGTGACAGGATAAGAGGACACAGTCTTAAGCTGCAGCAGGACAGGTTTAGGTTGGACATTAGGAAGCATTTCTTCAGAGAAAGGGTGATTAGGCATTGGAATGGGCTGCCCAGGGCAATGATGGAGTCACCATCCCTGGAGGTGTTTAAGGAAACACTGGACCTGGCACTCAGGGCCATAGTCTGGTTAACACGGTGGTTTTGGGTCAAAGATTGGACTGATGATCTCAGAGGTGCTTTTCCAGCATAATTGATCCTGTGATTCTGTAATGGTGTTAATATGGCTATTGTGTTTGAAAATACTCTCCACTGTTTCTCCTGTATTTCTGGCAGAAAAAAAAAGGTGACTTATATGAGCAGCAGCCCTCCTGTGTTGATATGACCAAATCCCTCTGAGCTACAGTCTTTTTTTTTTTTTTTTTTTTTTAAGGAAATGAGCTCAAGGGCAGTTTGAGAGCTGGTTGCTTTGGTGGAGAAGTCACATCCCCTCCTTTTAGTGCAGGTACAGAACCCTCTCAACATTACTAATCCTGCAAAGGATACCTAGTTGTTGTCCCACTCAGCTTCTTGACTCAGCTTTTGGCATAACGGAGGGCGTGGGACTGTGTCAGACTCGATTTAAAGTGATGTAAGCTGTTGTCAAACTACTTTCAAAATTGCTAATTTTCAGGCAGCTAAGTTCCCTGGTCCAGCTCACACTGAGGAACCTGGAGCACTGGTTAAAAGCTCATGGCCACTGAAGTATAACTAATAGATGTGATATAGTTTTGCCTCTCATCTCTCAAAATGCCTCTTCATATGTTTAAAAATAGACCTCCCCTAAATTTTTTTACCCATAGACAAAGCGATTTCGGTTCACGTCAATCCTTCCTTGTGTGACATGGTTTTAAACCTCTTAAGATGCTTATTTCTTGGCTCTGTGTTGTCTCAAAATCATTCACATCTTTTTTTTTGAAGTGTAGCACCCAAGCCTGGACACTGCTACAACTGAGGCCTCAACAGTGCCAGCATCTGCTGTCCTGCCTGTCACAGACCACATTCCTGTGTACATGTGCCAACACAAATACTTGGGAGTCAGTCTGATCTATCCACAGTCTTGCTGACCTGTCTTACCCCCGCATCCATTTCTGCTGACCTACCAAGCCAGTTATTTCTCCCTCAAGTAGACAGTAATGCTGCTTGAGAAATTACTTCCTGCAGCAGCCCTAATGCTATGCCTTCAGTTTTATTGCTGGATAATCAAGCAGTCAAAACACACTTTGGAATAAAATTCCACATGATGTTAAGTCAGAAAACTTGTAGAATTTGCCATCCTTTGTAATCGATTGCATTTCTCGCAAGGATTGTATTTGAAAAAGCAGAACTTAGATTGAACTGTGCCATGGTTACAGAAAGGTTGTGTAACTAAATTTAGAAGAGAGATTTTTACATGTTTTTAAATATTCTAAACTTGAAATTCACTTAAACTAAAGGAGCTAAAATAATGTAAATGTTAGCAAGGACTGATAATGAAGAATGTAGGTCAAGGACAGGGTGTTGTTACACCAATAAAAGGTAAAATATGGTAGAAACAGTGTAACTTCTCATCAGTGAGGGACAGAACCTGCAGACAAACATGTTTTGCTGTTATATGCACTTAATTCTGTTAGTTGTGTTTTTCAGTGACATACTTTCATTCTCAGTTTTGTTCACTGTCCTGTGTGCTGCTTTTGATCTGCACAGTGCAATGAGCAGCTCAGAAAGTTATTGCCAGCATACTCTGCAGAAGGGAAGTTCTAGCACAGCCTGATGGCTACACTGGCACTTCAGGTGCAGTTGAGCAAGTCATTTTACATGATTGTGCTTCAGTCTTCCCAGTATGAGAAGAAATCCATCTTTGTGAAACACTAAAAATCTAAAATTGAAGCCTGTGATGTGGGTATCTATTAAAATAAGTGCCACAGAAGGGATAAAAATCAACGCTGCTGTCCAAGTCCTGTGCACACAGAGGTTTTTACTCCTCATTCTGCCTTTGTATAACAGCTACAGAATTAGTTCTTCCATACAGCTGAGCAAGCTGGTAAATAATGCATTCAGCTGGTTTATTTCTTAGATGGTCAACACATGGTATGTTTGGTCCATTTTGCTTGTGTAAAGCATTTTTATGATGCGTTTTACATCAGGTGATGTTTGGATGGTAACAATTCGAGAAAAATACAGGCTTTGTCAGTGAATAAACAGAAATCTTACCTTTTCTGTTTCACTTGGCCATCAGATTTTGCAGAGTAGGCTTCCCACTTATTTCCAGATCGCTTTCTTTTTCCTCCTTTAATCTGTGAAGTCCTCATCTGTGAGGAGATTTAAGAGCACAATATAAGATATGAGTGTAAAACTGCTGATATTTCAAAGGGGCACTTGTCCTTCTCCTACTCTCTGTATGGTCTGCATTTTGTAAAAGTTGTTACTTTAAAAGAAATGGATGAGTGAATTCCAAGCAGAGATGGAGAAGAACTAAGTACAACAGGTGTTTTACATAGATGTGTATCTCTATATGTTTATATATGTGTTTGTATAAATACGTATAATACCAATTTGCAAGAATAAAAATTGACTTTCATCAGATAAAGTTCACATGACCAACATCTCCCATACAAGTGTGTGGGCATATATATGAAAATATGTGCACAGTCAGTACCTGCAGCCCTTCCTGGAGATTTACAAGCAATAACAAGTTCTTTTGATCAGTGTTTCTCCACTGCTGTCAAAGGTACAAGACAAGCCTATCCTTTTCAAAAGTGGCACTGCCTTACTCTCCCACAAAAGGGCTTTTTAAAAAATAGCTGGAGAGGAATTTTCAGGGCCAGCTCCTCGCCAGTTCGGCACTGTGCTGTTTAGCGCCCAGACAGTCAGAACAGCAGTCAAGAGTCCTCCAAAACAGAGATGTTTGTACCAGTGACTCAGATTTGTGCCACTTCGCGTTTTTTTTGTGTGTGTGTGATTGAAGTTCCGCAATAGACCATCTGTTATGGCCACCCAGGCAGGAGTAGGGAGCTCTCATCCACACTGGCATTCTGCTCTCCACATAGCAGCTTATCAAACGGGATTGCTAAGGAGGTACCCCTGTGGAAGTCCTGCTCTGCTGGGTGATAAACATAAACGGATCTGGCTGGAGCTTGTAAACGTCTCACATGGCACATCTGACATGTATTTGTCTACAGGAAGGGTCACATAATGCTCCATAAAGGATCTCCGATATGTCAAAAGGAGCATTATTGGGGGTACCATGGGATTAGTTCAGATATTCCCTGTTCCAATACCAGTAAGCAAGAAAAGACTTGCTCTCCCCAGAGAACTAATTATTCAGACCGGCAGGAAAAAGACCAGAAAGAGAAAGCGTTATGGAGGAAGCAGCAGAGCTGTTTGAAGAGGCGAATCAGCATGTGAACAAGGCTTTTCTGATACATCTTTTAACAAAAATGAACACAGTGGAACACCACATCAAAGTAACTGTCCTGCTCCATCAGCGTGATTGAAATGGCACAATCCGTGATTTTTTTTTTGTTTGTTTTGTTTACTTTTGAATGAAATTCACACGTAACAAGAAAGCATTTCTACTTAAGTCTGTTTACCCTGCACTTGACTCCTGATTCATGTGTTCTACATTTTGGGGAGGAGCGGCATGTCCGGCTTTTGGGCGACGTTTTTAGTCACCATACCAAGTTTCTGCAACAATAAGCAAGTGCTTGTTCCTCCTTGCCTCCTGCCCCTCCTCATATCAGCTCTGTGATAGCACTGTCAGTGCCCTCAGGATCTGAATTCCTGGTGTGGGGGGGCGGGGATGGGGGGGGTGTAAGCGTTTTAGGGTCATAGACACAACTACCAGAATGGGAACTAATTCTTCCTCTCTGTTTATAGACACTGCGTCATTTGAAGTCTGCTTCTCTAGTCAACATGGCAAGATAAGTAGGAGCTTGCTCTCCTCGGCAGCTGGAGAGCTGCCTCCTCCCAGCACAACACTGCTCTCACTGATTCCCAATTCACGGTTTTGTTCCTACTTTGCTCCCCTCCCCCCAGCGTCTTCACTTGCCTTCAGGCCCCAGGCGCTCCTTTAAGCCAAGTTTTCTGAATTTTTTGGTTCGATTTCCCTTGCTGCCTGTTTGCCTCTGCCTTCCTCGGGCTTTGCGGTGCTCTCCTCGCCCAACCTGCCCTCCCCAACTGTCCCTGCCCTCCCCAACTGTCACTCCCCAGCTGTCACCCCCCAACTGCCACGGAAGGTTCCAGTGCTCCCCTTTCTCTCCCGGGGCAGTGCCCACCGGGCTGCCTCTGCCTCTGGTGCCTGAAAGCTGCCTGGAGACACAGCCACGTGTGTTACCTGGTCCCCCTGTGCCACTGGGGCGTTCCTGAGTCCCAAGTGAAATGAGCCCCACTTCTGTTCCTTTGCTTTGTGATCAAACCTCCTTCCAGTACCTGAAGGGAGTCTGCAAGAAAGATAGGGAGGGACAAGAGAATGGAGTGGCAGGACAAGGGGGAAAGGCTTCACATTGAAAGAGGGTAGGTTTAGATTGTGTGTTAGGAAGAGTTTCTTTGCTGTGAGGGTGGGGAGGCCCTGGCACAGGTTGCCCAGAGAAGCTGTGGCTGCCCCACCCCTGGAAGCGTTCAAGGACAAGTTGGATGGGGTTTGGAGCAACCTGGTCTAGTAGAAGCTGACCCTCCCCATGTCAGGGGGTTGGAATGAGATGGTCTTTAAAGTCCCTTCCCATCCAAACCATTCTGTGATTTGCAGTCTCCTCAGTTATCTCTGCATTTAATGTGTTACAAGCCAGCATGTATGCTGCTATAAAACCATCCTCCTCATAGGAGCACTCAGTTTTACTGAGGCCCAAGTTCCTATCTATCACACCTTGAAAAGGGCTAATGAGTAAAAAATACCTGTGTGTGTTGAAGGTGCCCAGCAGTGCTTTTTAAGTGTGTGAACTGTAGCACTTCCCACATCTCCAGTGAGGCACCTACTGGCTCCCTCCCAAGCTTGGCACATCTCCCATGGTTTATAGCAGTTGATAAAACTCTTGAGATTTTCCCCAAGTTCAGAGTCCCTGAGGCTGGAGTAGGCTGAGACAGAGATATCTTGTTCCCTTTGTTATGAAAGAGAACAAGCAAGTATTCGTGTTGTATTTTTTCAGCCTGCTTTATCTCTGTCTCACGGTACAACTTTAACCTATTGGATACTTTTAAAGTTTTCAAATTATGGCAAGGGAAAGTCTTCCACAGTCAGAAGCTAAGCTCAGCATTGTAGGGAATGCTTAACATCAGAGGGGGTCTAACAGCACTTAAACAAGTTTAAAATATAAGTTTTAATGGGTTCCAGATTTTGCAGTGCAAGTGAATGAATATGTATGAATACTGCCAAAATGGGAAGGACAGGAAAAGAAAGGCTATAAGAGCATTTTCTAAAGCCTTCCTAGATCTACTGTCAGGGTTAAACAAATATGATAATTTTGCCACCAAGATAATTAAATGAATAAGGAGGTTGTAGTTCTGTCATGACCCTGTAAGAGAATTACAGATGCCCTGTAAATGACTAGTAAGAAAGAACTTCATATGAGAGAGGAACTGGAGTTGGAAACCAAAAGCTATAAATCTTAGAAAAAGACAGAAATTGATTAGATTTAGACAGAAAATAGCAAAGAAACACCTAAACAATCTCCTGACTAAGCAGACCTCACAAAAATAGATGACTGGAACAGGAACAAAACTGGAGTTCTGTGCAAGTGCTGGAAGTTGAAAAACCTGGTTGAAGAGATGAGATTGTCTCACTTTAAAGGAGCACTGATAGAGACGATTTTTAGGAAATACTGATAAGGAATGGCATTAAAGCCTCTCCAGCACCTCATGGCAGAAAGAGAAGAGGATGCCAAGGTTAGGAAAGGAATAGCAAATAAAACAGGAATCATCATCATGCCATTGTACAAATCCATTGTGCATCCTTCCTTTTCTGTAACTCAGGCTAATTTGGTATGGACTGTATTTAGAGAATACAGAGAAAGCCAAATGATAAGATGGCTTCGTATAATTCTCAGGCAAGAAGAGGATTAATACTCTGGGGATCTTGAGCTCATAAGAAAAACACTTCATGCTGAATTTGCTAGAAGTTTGTCAAGATCTTCGATGGAATGGAGATGGGTGAAGGACTGACTTATTTATCAGAACTGCTTTGTACTTGTGTTCTCTGGTAAGGTGGAATACTACAAGCTCTCACATCCTGTTATGAAGGCAAAAGGTGTGAATAGGTTCAGTAAAGGAAAATTTGTAAAAACCAGATCCTCAGGGGTATCAAGGAGATTAAATTGTCCCTGTACTTCGACATGTTTGCAACATACGTTACATATGCAACATATTCATGACTGTAGAAGCTTATTTGCCACTAAATAAAAATGTACCAATATCAACTTTAAAAATCTATAGGTTCTGTAGAGAAGTCTAGACACCAGATTTGGGGTAAGATATCTCAGTATTCACAGAATAATTTGAGCCAATATAAAGTGTGTGATAATATTTGGCATATTATCATTATTGGGTGGCTTCTTTGACATACTCTCCAGCCCCCACACTTAGGGAATTTTCAACCTTATCCAGTGTCAGGTAGGACCTGGAAGAATTTGTAGCAAGAATCAATAGCCAAGACTTGAATGAGAGCTGATCAAAACCAGATATGAGATTTCCCTTTCTGAGAAGGTACAAGGAGAAGTTGAACCTACGATTTGCTAAGGCACCATAGGACACTCCTGGAAAATTCATCCTAAGCTATATTTGGTACGCTCACAGAAACTGGGGGTCCCACTCGAACCATTCCAGCTCAGATATCAATCGATCAATAAATAAATAAATAAATATTTAAGAGAATTGTGTGCTTCTGAGTCATGTTTAGTTCTAATATGTGTCTTTCTAGGTGAGCTCCTGCCTCGGAGCAGATTCATCTTTAGCTGCAATTCTATAGGTGTGCACCTGTACTTTATGTGTTAAAGTCCATCAAAAACACACCAGACAGTGAAATGCTAATACTGAAAGCTTTTAGAACACAAATGGCTAACAAGAGCTCTTCAGACAAGCTCTTCCCTGCAAGTTTGTTTTAGAATAATTACAGTTTCTTGCAGTTACTGGCTTTTAATGATGGGCTGTTGAGATGTTTTTTTTTAGTTCCATTATCTCTGTAGAGTTTAATTCTTGAAATTTTATCACCGTCTCGTAGTGTGAGTGTGAGATACTCCACGTCAGTGCTGCTCAGTGCCTGCTGGAGTGCAATTTTAAAATGTAATTTTTTTTTTTCTTTTCTCTGATTTATACCTAGGTATAAATTCATATTATTGTCTTGGGTTCCTTCTCGAAAACTCACTGCAGCTTCATTTGGGATCTTAAAATACGATGTAAGTCACATCCTGGAAAATGTGAAAATAGATTTTCTTCATCTTCTACATAAAACATCCTTTCTGAGTTACTAAACTTTCTTCCAAAGTACACTGTTCCTGATCCAGAATCTCATTCTGTGACACTCAGACTGTTCTGATTGCATCAAATGTAATTCCACCCCCACTGAAACCCACCTCAGGCCTTTTCCCGACGTGATCCAGCTATTTTTCTTTGGGATGTTGCAGGAAATTACTTACACGCTACCGTTCTGATACACGACAGCAAATACGCTTCAGAGGGTTTTTTTTTTCTTCATAATTCCTGGTAGCATTGCAACTCAGCAAACTGTTTTGATACATCTGTGTAAGCAATTTAACTCTCCTCCTGCTCCCCACTGCAAGTCACTGCTTTGCTTTTAGCAAATTGGCAGAATTCTAACAAACAGACACTCCAAAGCTTTCATACGGTGCCGTTGCCTGTCATCCCATTCAAATGGTTCCTTCAAGGAGATTGCCACTAGTGTTGGTCCTGCTGGTTGTCATCTGCGGGATATTTCAGCCAGAATGCCATGGATGCAGAATTCTTGATTTCATTTTAGTTTGCAAAAATATTTGCCATCTGAAGTGCTGCCTGCTTATTCTCAAGCCATTAGACAGAAATACAAGTAAGGTTCTCTGCTTTCAACTGAGATTTACAAAAATCCTCATTACCTCCTGGGAAAAAAAAAAAAAAAAAGAAAAAAAAATGGCAAAAGGCATTTGCAGGAAAAAAAGTAGGGCATCTATTGCTGCTGCATGTTTAATTTTATTTGATTTACTATACTTAACTTTTTCCTTTGTTGGCAAAAACAACCTTAGCTGCTGCTAATGCTGTTGCCAGCGTCTCCATCTGCATCTTTGGTTACTTCTTGGATTTATTCTCTTTCTGCATTTGCAGAATTCTGCTTGCATCCTCTGGACTCTCGTGGGAATTTTCTCCCTCTGTGGCCAACATTCACAGCAGCTTGAAGTTACTCTCATTGTGGATGGCATTTTCCTGCAGTTGAAGACACCTGAGCCCAGTTCCCTCTCGAGCCTTATCAGTGGCAGTGATCACCAAGGCCTCTGTCTCATCTTCAGAAGTCTCAGATTCACGTTGTGCACACCCCATGTTTCAGTTCTGTCGTTAATCCCAAATCCCCTTTTTGGAGAGTTTATCTGAATTAATTTCGTCTTGTAGTTTTGCCACATAGGTTTATTTTGCAGCTGGGCCCTTCCTTATCTTCCTTTTGTAGATTCCTTCTCTGGGGAGCGGTTTCATTAAAACACCTCGGAAAGCATTTAATTTAGTCTAAAAGTTGGTACTACATTTGTTGGCATTTCTGTCTGGCCTGTTTTCTGCTGACCTTTACTCAAATGATTAGGTACATGCATGTGTGCATGTATATTTGTCATGCTTTCTGTCTTGTTCAAGCTTAATTTTACTCCCTCAAAACAAGCTTTTCTCTTGAGCTGAGTGCCCCAGCTGTTCCGTTAGGACTGTGACAAGTCTGCTCATACGAGGCACATCCACGGCACATCTGAATGAAAGTAAACATCCTGTGTTCCTCAGCCTTCTATAAACCCCAGCAGATGGCTGCTGCTTTGACAAACCGTGTGGAATAGGGTGGATCACATTTCCCATGCAACAAGACTTATTTCTGGAAATGCAGACCCAGTATAATTCTTGAAGGTGGCAGCGTGGATCCAACCACAAAGTGGTTCAGCCCAAATCAGTCCCACGTGGTGACTCTTCGTAGCTCAGACCCTCTCGCTTTCTGGACTGGATGCACAGTGGGGGTTGCCTTAAATTGCTGATCCACACAAAGCTGCAGGAGGACTGGTAGCAGCTTTCACCTGCAGGTCTTTGTTCATCAGCCTCAAGGTCCTTTGTGTAATACTTGTTAGAATCTCGGTGTGTTTGGGTTTTTTTTTTCCCTGTGATTAAGTATTTTCTGGAGATGGATGGCATTTCTTAGAATTGACTGGATTTTTCCTTAATACTCAGAGACAGTCCCTGCTCAGGATACTGGCAGGATCTGCAGGAGGTGATGTATGTTTTCTGCACCTCAGGTAACACTCAGGAGACGTGTGCCACAGACATATGTCTTATCCTGGTTCCCTGCAGCAACAGTTCACTGGTGTGTCTGTGCTTACCCCGGGCCTGGAATCAAAGGCACTTCAGTGCCCAGGTGGATTAGCAGCAGTCACAGAATCACAGAATTCTTTGGGTTGGAAGGCACCTTAAAGACCATCCAGTTCCCAACCCCTGCCGTGGGCAGGGATGCTTCCACTAGCCCAGGTTGCTCAGAGCCCCATCCAGCCTGGCCTTGAACATTTCCAGGGATCATCCACACTTCCAGGGGAATCCACATCTTCTCTGGGCAACCAGTTCCCAGACTGAGACTTGACCCTGTGTGTGTGTGTGTGTGTGTGTGTGTGTGTGTGTGTGTGTGTGTGTGTTCCAGGACCCATTTCTCATTTTATTTCCTAAGAGGAGGCAACAAGGGAGTTATTTTGGCTGCAAGTCCAAGCAAATAGCCTCTGTTAGGTCTTAAAACTAATGTCGAGGATGTGTCCCGAGGGAAAGGCAGTTTGGGAGTGGGCTTCATCTTTTCTTGCTTAAAACTTTCCTCCACTGAGTAACAGGTTCGGGCTCAGCTATTTGTGCCCACTTCCATCAAATGTTGAGAGTATTAAGCATCAAAGGAGAAGGCTTTTGAAAGACCACTTGCATTCTTCAAGAACTTGTGTACTAACTTCTCAGCATGGATGATCTTCAGTGGGCTACATGTCTGGTCTGTTGTGTTCAGAGGCCCTAAAAATGCTGCCGTTTGTTTAGAAGCATAGAATCAAATAAGGCTGGAAAATATCTCCAAGATCATCAAATCCAGGAAATATTTGTAAAGAACTCCTGATATACTTGTTACAAAAAGGCTGAGTGCAAGCTGGTCTAGCATCATCTATCCCTGTGTGCCTTCATCAGCCAGAACCTCACTGGTCATGCAAACCCAACACACAATTAATTGTGGGAAATCTCCCTCCATCACACCAGTGTGGAAAGCTCCCAGTGGCTCTGGAGTGCATACTTCCATTAAGGATTCAGTAGACTGATCACACTCCAAAACCCATGAAGTCTTTATTATTTCCCAAGTCAAAGTTTCTTACACTTCTAATTTCGTTTACAATTCATTGTTTGGGGTTTTTTTTAACCATTTGCTGTTGAGCCGAATTTCATTATATCTTAAGACATTCTGTACCATGTCCACTGCACTAAGTCACTTTCTCATTAGCCATCCTGCCCTTCCATTCACTATTTGGTCATTTCAGAGCAAGCCAGGAGGCAGGAACTTTGAAACCAGAGATTTTACAGGGTCTCTGGCCAGCATTCTGTTCACACTGGTGGCATTTTTTTGTGTAACATCACATAAGGGCATCATCCTCTTGGTGAGCTATTTCTGTGGCTAAACAGAACAAACACATTGTTGGTCAAAATCTCTAAATAGTTGGAGTAAGAGATGAGACTGTTCATCCTGTCTTCCAACAGCTGCTTCTGTTTCCTTGAAGAGAGACTCCCTAGGTGGTTATGTCCATTTTCCCACTAATGGGACTAAGTGTCATTGACTGGTGTACACGGCCAAAGACTTTCTTGAGACGCCTTTTTTTTTAACAAAAGCTTGTGCTCAGAAAAAAAAAATCAATATTACAGAAAAAAACAACCTATCAACATTTTCCCTTACACAGAGACGAGTTTCCATTTGCTTTATATTATTATATTTCCTGGCCACAGAAAGATGGGCACTGAAATCAGGTGGATTACCTGCAGTCACGGAACTCTGCCAGTAATTCATTATATTTTGCGAGTTGCAATATTCCTGATCTCGTTTTGATTCTTTATTCCGGAAGAAAGATTTTAAAACTGCTTGTACTGACCCCCTCAAAGGTGTTTGTAAATAAAGTATGAACCACAAAGCTCTATCTGTTTCTTGCCCTTTATTTTTGCCTTTTTTTTTCCCCCCAGCGGTGCCTCTTTGGCTTTTCCACGGAGTTTTTCGAACTCAGCAAAAGCATCTGTGAACCATTTTGCCTGCTACAGTAAGACATGTGTTTATGCATGTAGACTTCTCATCTGGGAAGATGGACAACAATATAAACCCTTGTACTACAAAACCAGACAAACTTACAATCATAGAATAATTTAGGTTGGAAGAGACCTCTAAGATCATCGATTCCAACCTTTGACCCAGCACTGCCAAGCCCACCACTAACCCAAGCCCCCAAGTGCCACATCCACACATTTTTTGAGCACATCCAGGGGTGGTGACTCAGCCACTTCCCTGGGCAGCCTGTTCCAGTGCCTGACAACCCTTTCAGTGAAGTAATTTTTCCCAATACTTTTCCACCCGTACAAAAAAGTACGGTTCCACACAAGTGGGCCTTGAGTAAAATCGTCATGAATGATACCAGTGGTCAAATGAGGCATCCAAAATCAGTTATTCCTCACCAAGAAAGCTGGAAAGTGTAAACCTTCCAGCACCTGGAAGGAGCCTAAAGGAAAGCTGGAGAAGGGCTTATTGCAAGGGCAGGTAGTGACAGGACAAGGGGCAATGGCTTCAAACTAGAAGAGGGTAGGTGTAAAGTGGATATTAGGAAAAGACTCTTGGCTGTGAGGGTGGTGAGGCCCTGGCACAGGTTGCCCAGAGAAGCTGTGGATGCCCCATCCCTGGAAGTGTCCAAGGCCAGGTTGGATGGGGCTCTGAGCAACCTGGGCTAGTGGAAGGTGTTCCTGCCCATGGCACGTGGTTGGAATGAGATGATCTTTAAGGTCTCTTCCAACCCAAGCCATTCTGTGATCCTGTAATACCATAATACATTTTCTGTTATTTTTGCTGTATTCAGAGGCAATGGGCCACATGCACAGCCCTGAAAATCTTGGGAGAAAATGCTAATTGGAGTGACAGCCTACACCACACACGGCCAGAAACCTTTAGTGAACACGCTCAGCCTCTCACCTTCTTGCTCCCTACTCATACGTGATCCTGCATCACATGTATGTCCCACATCTAGCTCCTGTTCCCCCCACTCCAACTGCTGTGTGTGCCTCACAGCTGCCCAAAATCTATCCTAACCTGGCAGGGGCTATGCCACTGGCTAGAAAGGAGGACAGCAAGGTCCAGCTGATCAAGCCCTTGCAGAGGGAAGCAACCTGTGTGATTATTAAAGAAGGTTACAGAAGCCTCAAACTGTTCAGGAGAGAAACACAACTCCCTGCGAGAGCAAACAAGGCACATTCAAATGTGTTTAATTGTGTGTGCCTGTCTGAAAATCTGGCTCATCATTCCTCTCTCTGTTTCTCACTCAGAGGGTCACTGAAAACACTGATATGCCAAGGAAGCCAATTCCTTGTGGGATCATGACTCTGCTCCACGCAGACATTTTCCCTTCTGTCACTTGGCATAATTCAGTATGTGACTTGAAAATTCAAAATATAAACAAGAGAGAGGAATCAGGGCCAATAGTGTTGCAAGCAGAATTCTCAGACCTTCCCAGTAAGTGGAAAATACCTCTCCTCTAGAAATACCAGCCATTTCTCCATTCTTTTGAGCTATGAACCATTTCTTTGCAGCTTTTAACCTATGAGGAAATTGGGACAAAAATAGCAGTCAAACATACATGTATAAGACTATAAAACCACACCACTCAGTGCCTCACTGTGTGATACACAATTTATCAGGCAAGTTTCTACCACCTCCTTGTTCTTCTCTTCCTGTGAATTGCTGATTTCTCTTTCTCTCTCAGAACTATTTTCTCCCTTAACTTTATTGTCCTTTGACACCTTTTTAAAAAGAGTTATGAGATATATAAGTGTGTGTTTAAGTATATCTTTGTTCCTGCTGCTTTCATCTGTGTTACAAATGCAAGGTAAAAACCTTCAGGGTATTTATGCATCATTCTAAGGAGGACAGAACTGTCCCTTATATTGTCCTTTAGCAGCTTCTGGTCATTCCCATGTTCCAGGATGCACAAAGTTACTGCAGATCTTTCCTGAAAATTGGTAAATGATACACCTGGGCTAAACAAATGGAAAATTCACCACGAGCGCAGACAGATGTCTTCTGACCGCCAAATCTGAGGTGTTACCTTTCCTGCAGTTCCTTATCTAATGCAGTGAGTGCTGCCCCTCTTCCAGGGTGGCAAGAAACAGCAGGAGGCAGTGACATTGAGATATCTCTGGAGCAGTTGTTTAAATGGTAATGTATCTTCTGATATTCTTTACTGACAGTTCTGGCATCTTCCTCAGCCACTGCTGTGGTAGTTGCTCCCCTCCTTGGTTACACGAGCTGCTCTTTTGGTCCTCACCAGACCCCTCCGGCATCCGCTCCGAGCGGTCGGTGCTTCCCTGACGTGCTGCCATCGAGGCAACCAAGCGAACAGGGAAGAGGCTGCAGAAGCCACTTGTGCTGCTCTGGCTCCTTCTCTCGTCTGTAGATTTATCATGGAAAGTACTCAAAATCAAAACCACTAAACAAGGCAGCAGAGATGCACCTGCAGCACGGGCCACATCCACACAGTCCCGAAACAATCCAGCTCAAGTTTCCCCTCACAGCCAGATTTAGAAAGGTCAGGCCAGCACAGGCATTTGAAGGGAAATGGCTTCATATTTTTAAAGTATGTGAAGTTTTAACATCTAATCTTTCAAATTAAGGAAAGCTCAGAATTTATGGGAGCAAGGAAGGCGCGATGCCTTTAAGAGAATTAATAAACTGAATTATCAAGAGCGGCTATTTCTTAACTAGGGGGGAAAGAAGGGAGGAGAATTCAGTGCAAGTTAATACTCGGCCAAAGAGTTTAACGAGCTATTCTGAATTTTGTCAGGGCAATGATTTTGACGAGGCAAAAAAAAAAAAAAAAAAAAAAAAAAAAAAAAAAAAAAAAAGGAAATATTTATAAGCATATGAGAAATATACTCAAATTTATTAACTATATGAAAAGTGTATATGAGATAAAAATATTTACGATGCTTCGGTAAATGCATAGTTGTCATTTCTTGTGAAGAAAATGCAACATTAATTTTAGCATTTCCTCTTTCTCAGATGTAAGTAGATTTCAGTGGCACACAAGGCTGTACTATACACTGAATTTGAGTTAAAGCACCGTAAGTCAGGGAAAGGACAATTATC